AGCCTAGACTCTAAACAATCAAATAAGAGCCTACATCAAAAATTTCATTAGAAGAGAAAGTTTATATAGAGCCTAGACTCTAAACAATCAAATAAGAGCCTACATCAAAAATTTCATTAGAAGAGGTTGTTTTGATGCCCAAATATCCTCAAGTTGATCATCTTGACATCAAGATGCATGGACACGAGAGAAAAATGGATTTCAAGTTTTGGAAATAGTATATTTTGTAACGCATTTTTGGACCGTCAATTTTCAAGATTTTCAAATTCTCATACATCTGTTGAACTACACTATTTTTGAAGCTTTAAACTTTATACATTATATAATAGTTTGTCAGCTGAGCTGACTAAAAAATTTCCACTACTACTAGGTTTCCAAACCACTTTATCTTCAATTTCAGAACAATAATAGATCTGATTTAGGAGCTCCAAAAACTGAATGTATTCATTTATAACCTCATTACTTACTCTTCTATATGAACAACAAATATCCCATCTTAAGTTGAAGCCATTTCCCTCCACTATATCATATATTGTTTTACTTTTAGAATTAACTTTGAAAAAAGGAAGAGGAAACTGGAGGACTTTCACCTACCCATTTCCCTTGCCAAAATCTCACTTTATCTCCATTCCCAATAATGTTTTTCACATTACTAAAAAAGAATAATCTATGGGCCAAAATACCTTTCCAAATAGAAGAAATACCTTTCTTCCTTATACCTTTTGCAAGTAACCCATGCTCAATATCCTTACCATATTTCTCACCTAATATCCTTCGCCATATTTAATGCCTACTTGTTGTACATCTGCACCACCATTTTGTCAAATATACATTATTCATAGTCAGCATTTTTTTTCGGTCCCATACCCCCTTCATCTATAGGAGTACACACTTTGTCTCATTTAACAAGGTTATACTTCTTTTGACCTTCCTGCTCACCTCATAAAAACCACCTCATCAAATCTTCTATCTTCTTAGCCACACATCTGGGAATCGTAAATAAAGACATGAAATAGATTGGCAAATTTGCCACATAAATTTTTGTGAGTAAAAATTTTTGATGTTATCTTCTGATGACCTGGAAATTTGCGAGTGTTTGAAGTGGTTACAGGCAAAAAATTAATTTGCACACAACTTATATCATTGGCATTGCTTGTGATGATAATAACGTCAAACACTTTGCTGAATGTATGAATTGTGAAGTGGGCAGATTTCGAGTCAAATATTTGGGTATATCTCTATTTGACAATAATAATAGGGTGGCTTTGTAGGATTATGTTATTCAGAGGATTCAATATAAGCTCGATTCATGGAAATAAACACTCTTACCCTTTGGGGGTAGAATAACATTAACTAAGGCAGCTGTCGCAAATTTACCCATCATTTTCATGTCTTTATTTATGATGCCCAAAGGTTTCTGTGGTAGAGAAAGAACTTCAAATACATTAATACCATTGTTCTTCACTTGAAAACCTGTTAAAAGTTCTTTCTATACCACAGAAGATAACATCACGCTAAAAATCTCACCCATAATGGTAAACAAAAAAGGAGATAGATGGTCTCCTTGCCTAATTCCTCTTGAAGTTTTAGAAAATCCTTTAGACTTCCCATTGATTAAAATAGAAAAATGGAACTCAAAGACCCATTTATCCATTTTAACGATCTATTACCAAAACCCATAGCTTTCATGGTTTGCAATAATAGTTTCCATTCAATTTTATCATATGCTTTTTCAAGATCAATCTTGTATATAATCCTTCATTCTTTTTTAGCAAACCGAGAACTTATAACTTCTTGAGCACAAAAAATATTATCCAAAATTTGCCTATTTTGAATAACAGCTGACTGAGGTCCCTTGATCACCATATGTAAAAGAATTTTTAGTCTCTTAGCGAAGCACTTAGCAAGAATAAGGCTGGACAAAAGACTAATAAGTCTAATATCACTAAGTCTTTCAATCATGCTCTTCTTAGGAATAAGAGCTATAAAAGTTGAGTTTACACTGGTATTCACCACTCCTCTTTTATAAAACTCAAACATCATATTGCAAACATTAGATTAAACAATCTCCCAATACTGTTGAAAAAATCCTAGTGAAAAACCATTAGGCTCAGGAACCCTGATCACTAGCTAGGCTAAAAACAACTTCTTTCACGTCACCTTCTGAAAGAGGCCTCTCTAACCAATTAGTTCTATCAGAAAGCATTCCTCTTATTATTTAAGGCCACAAATATATGCAAAACATACTCATTATCAAAATACACATTAGAGCTAAAGTATTTAGCATTTTTTTTAAAAATAATTATTTAACATTTTAACCATGTTTTAATTTAATTTTTAAATACCCATAAAAATACAGGCCATTAGTTAGAATAGTTAAAAAAGAATAAATTGTTAAATTGTTAAAAAATAAAGTGTGTTTTGAAATTTTTCTTGTCTTTCGAGCATGTCAGTAATCGGCAGTGATTTAAAAAATACCGGGTCAGCACAGAATCATTCGGTCTGACTCGAGAATCGGTCACCCCATGCCGGTTTTGTCAATATATAGGAAATCGTCTGGGTCTAGAAAAGAATTGACAATTTTATTTTTATTTTTTTGAGTAATTCAATGGGGATGACAGTCCCCTATTCATTTTTTAAATTGTTAGTAATTTTTTAATGCGTTAGACGAGAATGAAAACCTAGACCTTAACAAAGACACAAGCGATGCGATCACCATGACACCAACCTTAGAACAGGAGATTTGCTAAAAAAGACCGTCGATACACGAATTCGGATCAGTTTTTTTGTGGTTCGCTATTTTTGCATGTATTTGTTTGACCAGTTTACTATTTTGCCGTATAATAAAGCGGCGACTTGTGCCTGATCCGGCCACCGACACATTTCTTAAATCACTTGCAATCAATATTCAAGAGGTCGGCGTGTCATACATTGGTTTAGGTGTGGCGTACATATCATAGTAGTAGTAAAATGTAAAATAAAGAAAGGGAAAAGTAATAGAATACTAATATTATAACCACTGCCGCCTTGTATACTATACATGTGTGGCATTGTTTAGTAGGTTCTTCCCATTTACCACAAAACAACAAGATTAGACAAGTACGGAGTTTGAACTTCTTTTTTTTTAAATTGTAGAGAGAGATAGAAACATGTTCTTTTGTAGGTGTATTTTAGAGAGAGAGTGTGTGACAAGTTTGAGAGAGAGAGAGGGCAACATGTTCCCTTGCAAGTCTATTTTACATAGAGAGAGAGAGGGGAACCTGTTTTCTTGCAAATTTATTTTTTAAAGGGAACATTATGTTTGTATCATTTTATTTGACTGTTATTTAGTGATGGTAAATACGGTCTTTATGTCGAAGTTCTTGTCCTCTCGATTTTTCGTTTTTTTTCAAGTTTGCCTCCTGTCTTATATTTTAAATATCGGACTGTAAATTAATTTTAATTTTTTTTTATAATAAAGAGCCAAACTAAACCATCATGCCACTAAACATTTGTTATTTTATTTTATGCCTTAAACCTTCAAAAAATTGAGGTCTAAAGTCTGACCGTCTCAAACTTTCAAAAAATAAGGACCAAATACTGGAAGAAAAAAAATTAGACAATTGATGTTAATAAGTCTAGTTGGGCAATTGATGTTAACAAGTAATCTGATGATTAAAAAATTAGATAAATTTATCAAAAATTTAAAGGCAATTGATGTTAACAAGTAGTCTGATGATTAAAAAATTAGATAAATTTATCAAAAATTTAAAAAAATAAAAAAAGGCGTCCTTCCGGATAATAACAGCGGGGGGGGTTCGTTTTAGCGGTTTAAACAACGGGTACAAACGATAAATTTCCCTTTTTAAATTAAAATACTTTTACTAGAAGAAAAAAAATTTAAAAGGGGGATTTATACCAGGAAACCTGCATATAAGGCACATATGGTACTTCTGCAGGTGCAAACTATACACACGTCCCCTTGCGCAAATAAACCTACTTTGAAGGTTCTCTTGATCTAAAATTTTTAGATCGATTTTATAATGAGTATTCTATAAAATAAAATAGAATAAAACATATACAATAAGGATGTTTAACTAAGAAGTTGTATGTCTTTTTCCCACTAATCCTTGCTCGTATACAATCCTCAAAGTGATTGGTGATGCTAAATGCCACAACCAGAGAGAGAGATATGCGCCTTCAATTTCATGAGCAGCACTTCTCTTGGACAATTAAAAAAAATTTCATGACTTGAGCAAACCTAACCATAGAGCATTCCACGCAACCAACACCTTAAAAAAAAATATTAATTTCTAAACTATTTGAAAAAATAGGTTGGGTCCAGTCATCTCCACCGTTGATGCCCCTAAAAAAAAAAAAAATCATAAACCAGAGCATGCTACATACACATATCTTAGCATCTCGGATGCATAAAAGGATCAGAAATGGAGTAGCAATACTAGTTTTTCAACTGTTGTATGCATGTGTCATCTAAAGAAGAGACGCATTGGAGATTTTCAAGGACATTAAGCACATTTATTGTAAATTTTAAAGAAGAACGATTACAAAAGCAACTCTTTCTTTAAAATGTCCGACAATGGTGTCGGGTCATCAGAAAAAATTGACAAGACTATCTATTTAATTGGGTAGCAGAGAGAAAGTAGACAGAAGAAGAAGAGAGAGAATTATTCAGCTCCCTTCAATAGCTTGGCCAAGACGACCTCAAAATATTCAAGAGTACATGGTACCTTTAGGGTACCTTCCTGTTCATATCCATACTCATGTGCAGCAATCTCAAGCAAATCCACCATTAATGGATGGTTCAGGAGCTTGGCAGGTACGAGGAACCTCTCTCTCTTCTCCCTCCCCACTATTAGTGGCACCGAACCCTTGCCACCCTCATCATCATCATCATCATCAGCTCTTAACCTCGTGTACACTTTCTTGCGCAGGAGAGGCAACAGGGGCTTCTTAAGCATTGTCTTTAAGCTGTGAGCCCCAAATCTCAAGCCTCCTACTCCTCTTCTGTGTCATTCTTATAGGAAATACTTCATCGCCTGTGGAAATTTTAGCGAGAGATGTAGATATTGTTTGACTACAATAAAATAGAGAGAGAGAGAGAGAGAGCAGGTGGTGAGGTTTGGATGAGATAGGGGGCAATAGTGCATTATTGAGGTTATGAGCGATGGATCAAAATAAGGAGAGAGAGAGAGAGAGAGAGCACAAAACCAACATGAAAAGTCAGTGCGTGGTACAGAGAGAAGATCCGGGAGTCCAAAGAACTTCAAATATATCTATTATAAATTGCTAAAAAATTATATGCTGTTTTTTTTATATGTTCTAGTTTAAAATTAGATAATCTAACTAGTCAAAATCGTTCAAATATTTTAATGGGTTTTCAACTAAATCAGGTTGTTGTTTAAAATTGGATTAGCTAAAACATAAGTGGGAGATCCGATTATTTTTTTTGACAAATGTTATGAATTTTTATTAAAGCAATGCTTCAAGAGCATGAGATTACAAAGATTTGATCAAATCGTTAGAAGCTTGCAAAAGAGGCAGAGAAACACCATGTTTAGCAAGCTTATGAGCTGCATCATTGGCTTCGTGCATGGCGTGGCCGAAGCTTAACCTCAAATTAGGCCAGGCACATAGTTATTGAATTTTTAACTAAAGAGTAAATAGAGACCAGGGGATCCATTGCTCTTTTCTACACCACTTGATAACATTCAAGGGATCCTTTTCAATTATAATATCACCAGTGAAACCCCTGTCGATGATAATATGAAAGCCTTGAAGGAGAGCAACCAATTTAGTATGATTGGTTGTTGTAGACCTACAAGGACCCGAATAAGAAAAAAGAACCGCTCCAAAATTGTTGCGAAGAAGCCCACCAACACCTGCAGGTCTTGGATTTCCAAATGAGCTGCCATCAAAATTAAGTTCGCGGCAAGCTTCTAGAGGTGCAATCCAAGTTCTAAGAGGACGGCTAGAGTGAGAAGAGGAATGAGCCAAAAATTCCAGATTGATATAAATATCAGTCCGAAGAGCACTCTATCCTTCAGGTGTGGAGGAAAACCATTCCAAAGAGATTGTAAAATAAGATCTTTTACCCTTTCAATATTCTGAGATACCCCATCAAAGGCTCTCCTGTTAAGTTCTAACCAAATCTGCCGTAAGATTGCACTTTTGAAAATTTTCCAAATCACAATTCATTTTTTTGGTAATCCAATGGCAGAAAGATGGTTAATAATGTTGATGAGATTCAAGTGTATCATGAGGAAAAAACCTAATAAAGAAAAGGCCCAGAGCCATAAGCTAGAGGCAAAAGGACAGTGAAAGAAAGGATGATAGTAAGATTCTTTATTTGCTCTTCACTGGCATAAAAAAAAATCAGAGTGTTATCTACATATTGCAAATGTGAAATAGTAGGCTCAGATGAGCAAACTTGAAAACCTATAAGAAGACTTACATTTACAAAATTTTTAAACATCAGGTTAAAACCTTATGCTACTAAGGTAAAAGAAAAAGAGATAGATGACCTCATAATTCAATAAATGCACTCCATAATTCAAGAAATCCATCTGACACCGAAACCCATTCTTCTCATAATCTCACTGAGCACTTGCCATTCAACTCTGTTAAACGCCTTCTCCATATCTAATTTAATAACCACTCCCGACTGTTCAGAAGATTTATAGAGTGAATGTATTCATGAGCAATAAGAATGCTATATGTGATCTCTAATAAAGGCTGATTGTTCATCAGAGATCACAAAAGGGAGAACTAACTTAAGTCATAGTAGAATAGTAAAATAGTGAAATAGTGATTTGGACCGCCGATTCATCGATCTGGACCGATTTTTGGGATGTCGATCCGGGTTGCCGATATGTCTATAAATTGAGTGGAGATCATTCATTTTGGAGATCAAAGTATTTAAAAGTCTATTATATTCTAATTTGATAGTTTAGAGCCTCAGCTCTATATAAACTTTTTCTTCTTTTTTTTTTAATAGTAATCGGGTGGTTTTAATGTGAATTCACAAAATCTTAGTTAAAAAATATTGATTATAATATAATGTAGATTGAAAAAATTAAAGTTTATTGACTTTGAAATTATGTACCGAAAAATAAAGATCACATGTTCGAATACATGCAATGTAGTCAAATTCATTAGAGCAAAAAGATGATATATTGATGTTTTTGGTCTAAAGAGTGTTCCCATTTCCCACCGCTCAACTTGCACAACATGACAATTATGCGAGTTACCCCTCTTAATACGGAATTATCCGAGTTGCCCTTAAGTCCCTATAATGCCAACCAACACAGGATTAACCAGACAATCCCTAGATCTACTCTTGTACGTTGGAAGGCATGGGTTTTCATGGAGGGCAACATTATCAAGTGATGGATATATTTAATAATTTTAATTTGGAAAAATATTCAATGTTATTTCAAAATAATATCTTTTTAAGAACTTTAGTGTTACAAAACGATGCAATATATTTTTAAATATGAGAATACTAATTTTATTATTAAAAAATAAAATGCACACGTATGTATGGGAGAGGTGCAAGAGACTTTACTCTTCACACGCAGGCACATATATGTCTGGCTCTCGGCTCACTTTCTTTATGCTGCGGCCACGACAAAAGCAAGTTGTTTTGCTGGAGTGTGATGTTGCTTGAGTCACATTGCAGAGTTTGATGAGGCATGTTGAGCATCACATCGCTTGCGTTGTCCATTGCGACATAACGAGAGTACCGTTGCTGATATCACAGGATCGAGATACAAAAGCTGTGTGGGACAGTTTCTAAACAGTTGTTACTATTGAGAAACTGGTTTATGACTGTTAAATAGGAAAGTAACAAATTAGTTCAAAACTGTATTAAGTTGACTTCACACGGCATCGAATGATCACAACTCATGGCTTGAAAAGACAGAATTCAAATTTCACTTTCTGAACACTATTTTACAAGTTATAACCCATTTTCTTACTTGGTTTCTCCCTCCAAAAGGAAATGCAACTCTGTTGCATTAGACCTGTTGATTTTGTTCATTGAACAAAATAAGTGTTTGATTTTCGGTTTTCAGGTTTTTGGGTAAATTTGCAGGAGAACCTTATGTGTACTGATTATTATCAGCAGTGGCAAATATTATTTTCAAATAATGCATTTATATTCCTAAAAAACATGAAAACTTTTCAGCTATTTGCATAATTATAAACGAAATAAAGTTTTCACTACTCCTACCGACACCCCACAAAGTTCCAACATAAAATGCCTACGTATTTTCAATGTCTCAAGTCATTTTGAGTTTCAAATTGTTTTGAATTGCATAGCGCTGCTTATATAACACAATTTTCCTTGGTTATCACACATATGGATGGCCATGATACTAGGATCAAAGAAAGCGTACACATGCTTATTGAGATTGGACCTGACTATTCAGTTTGACGAGTCGGATTGCCAACTGGTGCTTTGGCCAATTTAGTCTACAGCAAAAAATAAGTTAGGTAAAAACCGATCAAAACTAATATATAACATGTTTTAATTAGTTGAACTATATAATTTTAATTGGTTTGGACCAGTTAAACAAAATAGCATTTTCATTTTTAATATATTTTGTATTTTTAAATTTTTATTTTTATTTTAAAAACTCTAATTCATTCAATCAAAACTAGTTTTGACTAAACCCAATCCCTCACTGGTGCGAATGCAAGTCCAATATAATAATATTGTGCATACATACAACATACATTATATAACATGATGATTAAGAATATGATATTGTAGACACCCAAGTTTGAAAGTTGCTTTATTCCTATGTGCCCAAGCGCTAAAGCTACCATTAACCCTAATTAATACCTTAGACCTATGTAATTAAGCATTAAAGCCATAAAAAACCTAGAGACCACACAAGCCCCATACACCCTGGAGAAGTAGATCACCGGACAAAATTTAGAGGTGCTCCTTACTACATTGCACATGGGCGGCTTGGGCTATTGTCAAAATGGAAATCATTTTATATTCACCCAAATAAAAAAAATCATTTTATTATTAATGAAAGTGGAATGCACGTTTCTAGGGACCTTCCCAACCCTAACTTCCAACACAATTAACCTTGCTCCCAGTCGTTAGGAAATGTCGTGTGTATTCATTGAAAATTGCATTTAAAAATATATGAAAACATAGACTTGCGAGCTTGGTCCAATTTTTTATTCTAATATTTTTAAGTCGTATTTTATTCCTATAATTGTTGTATTTCAGCCAAAACTTAGGGAAAAAGGGAGAATATCCTTAAAACGGTGAAACTGACAATGAAAGGACTAAATCACTAATATTAGAGACAAACCTTTAAAGTCTTTAATTTGGGTACCTCTTCAAGAATATTGTTTAAAAATGCCCAAATTACTCTTTGTGTTAGCGTTACAAACTGTAACATTGAATAACGAGGGTATTTTCGTAATTTTTAACTCTCAAATCACTTGGGCCAAATGAACGTCTTTTTTTGTTTTGGGTTTCAAATTCGGAACATGTTTTTTTTTTAAAAGTTCTTGTCCAAAATATTTTGATAATCTAGCCCTACTTAAGTCGCCTCAGCGAAACTATGTAAATACTCTTATTTGTTTTGGGTTTGGAAACATTTTATCAAAAACTTTTCTTGGATTTTTTGAGCCTAAAATCGGTGTAATACGTACTTTTTATAACAAAATAGTCATGAAGTACCAATGTAAAATGATTAACTATTATATCAATAAGTAAGTTTATTTAACCGCCTTATTGATTCTTTGAAGTAGTTAAACCGCCTTAGTAATTCTTTCCAGTGGATTAACCAATTTCCGTCAAAGGCACAGGGATAAATTACAAAAACAAAAAGAAAAAAAAGATAAAAGGAAAAAAAAGAAAAGAGAAAACAGAAAGAAGAGGAAAATTGCAAGCAAACTGGGGGCAAAGGAATTGAGAAATGTCAAGAATATTGATATTTCTTGGAATCACAAATCGGAATATGGACGCCACATGTTACTTATTTGTTGGATATGGTGATATCCAAAATCACTCCCATAAAAAAATCACATATTATGTGGGTTTGAGATTGATATTGATAAGTATCCTAAAGATAGAAATCCAAAAGGATTAGGGATCTTGGTTCTTGAGATATATGTAACAGAGAGAAGGATATGTGTCCCCTATTTGAGTCGTCATATGAGAATGGTGACTTTATCTAAAGAAAGAGTCAG